GCATATAACCACCCAAAATGCTGACCAACAGCTTAAAATATTCAACTTGAGCGCATTTAAGCCCATTTTCTGCGAGCTACTGCAACCAAATTGAATCATCATTGAGCATGTAAGGGAAAGCATGGAGGAGGCTGGCCAGAAGTTGTGGGTGCTGAGTATATGACACATGCAGTTAAAAATGAATAAACGCGGACATCGAACGAATTTTCCACTCTCGATGTGGTTACATTAAACGCTCGTTTGGCCTGACACAAAACGACGTGGATCGATTGGACAAGACATATCAAGAATTTTGGGTAAATGGAATTTAAGTGAGTGAAAAAAAAATAGAAGAAAATCGACCAGAAAGAAAAGTTAAGTTTGAGATGCCGAATATTAAACACGCTTGGGAAATTTACTTTTTAATATTCATAAAAACATAAAAACATTCTAGACTGTTTATTCTATATGTGTAAAAGAAATATTCCTGAATATATTTAAAATTAAATTCGTATCTTATTATTAAATGAGAATATGGTCCGATTTTGGGTTCGTGCGGTTAAGGTGGAAACTTTGGTCAAAATACTTAAATTGATAAATTGGTGTTTTTCGCAATAATTCAATTTGGCATAGATTTTTACTAAAGTAGCAATATAATCTAGTCAAGTGGTAATATTTTGAGGATAACCACAAATATAGGGTCTGGGTTATGTTAAACAAGATTATATAGTGTGTTTGATGTGCTTGGAGATGCGCTCTCTTGCTTCCCACGCAAGCCCATTAGAACGCACAGAAAATGTTTTTTTGTGGTCGGCAGCGGTAGCTGATTGAACATTTTTCAATCAACTGTTCAGCAGCCGGCGCCCAAGGCAACCAATCTGAGTCCAGAAAGAAAAGAAGAGAGAAGCGTTCACCAGTTTTGCCAATTCAAGGCGAGATCTATGCCAAAACTGGTTTCTTCATAATACTTTATCTGTGTTATCGATGAGCACAAACCAGAGACAAATGAAAACGAGAGAAAGAGAAAGAGAGGGTAAGAATTGAGAGAAATGATAAAAAATAAAAAAAGAAAAGTTGTTTTCCATAAAAGTCGGGCAATTGTCGGGCCTTGGCTATTTGCAGTTGTTTTTCATTTGCTTGGCTCCGATGTTGGTCAAACGCTTTGCCATATTCAATTTTTTTCTTTTTTCATTTCCCCCTCGCAGCAGTTAATAGCGAAAGTCGTTTTCAGCTCGTTTCTTATGTGGGCCAAATGTGCAGCTGCTTGCCACAAGCTAGCCGAAAAAATAAAAAACGGGCCAGCACACCGTAGGAAGCAGGCAACAGGCTGCAAGAGCGATTTCAGCTAGCAGCTGAGATAAGATACATATACATTTGGGCAAGCCCCAAAGTTCTTTTGATAAATGGTTTCACTTGTGGCACTGACTCGCATGTTTCGAGTTTCTTAGTTCAGGTTGAGTTTCAGCTATCATAACTTATATTATATGCAATGCCGAGACAGCTTATTGACGATTGTAAAAACATTTAAAATTTCTTAAATTTAATATATGGAATTTCGTTACAGTTATGTACCTCATACATACAATAAACAGAATGTAACCTCTCACTTCTAAATACCGTAAGCTATTTCTTTCTATTGATTTTAATTAAGTAATTTAAACGGTCCTTGTTAGATGAGTTGTCAAAGTGATTCCAGGCTCAATCTCCAGTCTAGTGTAAGGTACTTAAATGGTAGAAAATTAAATTATCAGAATTCTCGGCATTTCTCATAAGTTTTTGTAATTAGCATCTTGTCTCGGATATATCTATAATAATTCATTGCCGAAATCGTGCAAATTTCAAGTTTCTTATATTCTTCCATGATTCCCATAATTTCCAAAGACTTTTGAATAGTGTGCTGTTAAGTTGTATATTTTTAAAATTTATATGATTCTTTATGGCAACATTGTGCACAATTTTGAGAATTAAATACATGTCGAAATTTTCGCCTGAAATACAAAGCCTTGTTATCAGATGTTTTTGATTTACTTACTGATTGTTGACATTGGCAACGAGTAAATATGTCAATTGGTTCTTAATGATCAGTAATTAATATAGTTAAGGTTTGTTCAACTGTTTACTTGATACCGGCTGACGAATATTAATTTTTTGCTTAATCGGGGAATATAATTATATCCGATTCAACCACTTTTACCGGTAGCAGCAGGGTATTACAAACAAAAAATTATAGGTCTATAGTTTGCTCAAGCATTCTGTTTAATTACCTCTCTTCAGACCGTTGGCTGTTTGCTTTAACGTTTTTTTCTCTAAGGAAATTATCCTCCATTTTGCTGGCATTCATTTTGGTGGCGCCCGCATTTCACATGCCATCAGCACCCTCCCGAAACAGTTTCCGACCAAACTGCATGCTTTTTGCGTATTTTTCATTATTTTGGCGCATTTTAAGTAATTAAAATTCCCTACTCATGGCAAATGCATTTTCACCATTCTTTCTTTTCTTTACGTATATAAAACCCAGACAGACTGTACACTTGTATCCGCATCTATGTATATGTGTTATGTATCTATAGTTGTGTTTTGTATCTGTGTTGACCGCAGCTATTCTGACGTTAAATTCATTTTCCTATCGATTTTTGCGGTTTTTTGAACGCAATTAACCTTCTACTTTGGTTTGAATATTCCCAAACTTTTTGGCTTGATGTGCAGATTGTTGTAATTGTCGTTTTTGTTGTTGTTGTGATTGCTGTGATACCCTTCGTTGAGTTTTCCTATTGAATTTTATCTGCTCTTCTGGTATTTTACTCAGTTTCCCCAGCTGTCGGCTTGTGTCAATTTTTCATTTGTATTTACTTTGCTAATCCTTGCCGATAATTTGATGTGGTTCTTGGATCTGTGGCCCATTTAAGGCACCACTATTAGATTGCCAGCAAATATTTGAGGCATTCGGATTAGGTTCTCTACTTAGTTCGTTTCGGCTGACATTTTTAGTGAATTTGTGGCTTTTGTGGTTGATCCCAACAGATACAAATGCGTAAATAAACAACTAAGTATGCATTAAATAGAAATCGTTTTAATATTATTTGTTGGCGGTTTATTTCCCTAGGCAATAGTCAAAGGCTTTAAAGTGAAAAGAAAACATCTTACAAATGTATTTATCCATAATTATTGAATGAAAACTTTTAATATGCAAAAATGGTAATGAAATTTATGGACAAAAGGGAAATATTTGCAAATGCCATATGTCAACGTTTTAACAAGCTTAAATTCGTATTGAATCATCAATATTCCAAAATCTAAAATTATTTGTAATAATTCATTAAACAATTCTTTAAAATTTCACACTTTTGCTATGTTCTCTACTCCCACATTTTCTGCTGTGTTCGAAGTTCTGGTTCGTTTGACATAGTAGCTGTCTATAAGAATGGCATTACAATCATCAGCATTCAACAATAAATCTTGACGTAAACCCAATTCCAATTGTACTGAATCCCAGCTCAAATCGGCTAGCCGCAATTTCAAATTAATTGAAGGCCGGAAATTGAAACACAACGTCAACGCTGGATGCTGCTTGGCGCAACAGACTCCACATTCCGCTTCGGCCCTGGCTACATTTTAAAAGCACACGACAAACGCAACGGGCACACTGGAAATTGCAACAACATTGAACGGAACACCCACAGCAGAAGCAGAAGCAGAAGCAGCAGCAGCAAAAATCGTTCGAAATGCCTCACGTTTGCTGCATTTCATTGCTATTTGAGCTTCTGTTTTGTGCGCTTCGTTTGCTGATTCGCTTAATACTTTTAACGTTTCATAGCATTTAATGGCTGTAAAAGTGGGCCAACGGCCCTCAAGCCACCCTCTTGCCGGTGCTGGCCCTGGCTCTGCTCTGTCTCTGGCTGTGCTTTTAGCCTTGGTTCTTGTTCTGCTGACTGTGTGTGGGCATGGGTGTGAGTGTGGCGCCTGTGTGTATGCAATGCATTTTCTTGTAATGCATTTTACTTTTGCAGTTACTCTCAATGTCGCCCAGCAGCACTCGTACACTTTTGTGGGCGTGGCCTGTCGAACTTGAAGTGCAAGTGTAAAAGTGCCAAAGTGGAGCTTGTCCCTGACACAAACATATTTATTTTGGCAGATGGACTGGAAACCAAACCAGAAATGGCAGAGCCCAAGCCAACGACGCACACACACACACGCACACAAACACAGGGAAAGACATATATCTGCTTTGCCAGCAGCTTGTGCAACATTTTTAATGCATTTACAAACACACACGCACACACACACCTACCAACACACACACACACACAGACAACACATACACTCATAAATGCATTACTTGTGCGCAGTTTGGTTCTGCCTGTTGGTTGTTGCTCGTTCGCTGGCTTAAGTGTGGGCGTGCCAGATTGCCTAATGGAGTGTTATGTGCCAGCTACCTATATATATATATATATAAATGAGAGTCTGCTAGGTTGAAAGCATATAAAATACTGATTGGTAGACTAACACCTTAGATGCTTGTGAAGCAATCAGGAATTGTGTATCTATAAAAAACACAATATTACATGTGAAGAGGCTATGTTAACAAATGTGAATACGGCTTAAAATCTCTCTAGAGAGGATTTTGAAAATGATTTCCTTGTTTTAAAATATATTTTAGAAAACAAATTTGACTTTAATAAATATTTAATAAATAAATGCTGTTTTTATGGAATATCTTATTTAAAATAAGCATATAAATATTTCACAAATACTTTTATTTAAGTATAATTTTTGGAGCTTAAAGCTGACTTTTTTTTGCAGTTTTTTCAAAATATATAAAACGTACATAATTTCTCAAGTACATATTCAATGCACTTCAAATACCTTAGAATATTTCTAATGTTCTTTAAAGAAAAATTTAAAGATTATACAATCATCTTATTGTTTTACAAGGTTAATAAATTAAAATAAAAATAAAGAATTATATATCAATTTCCTTTAACTAATAATATATTATTAATTTCGCTCTTTGCTATTTACAGGTCGTGAACGACTTAATGAATACATATCCCACTATGAAACACTCAACTATGATCATGAGCACATTAGAGCTAGTCACATTAGAGCGCGTCGATCGGTGACCAAAGATCATTTTGTACATTTAAAGTTTGCAGCACATGGAAGAGACTTCCATCTTAGATTAAAACGTGATTTAAATACATTTAGTGATAAGTTAGACGTGAGTATTATTAACATATAGGAATTATTTCAAAATAATAATCTGAATTCATTTGTTATCCCAGTTTTATGATAGCAACGGCCCCATTGATGTCTCAACGGATCATATCTATGAGGGCGAAGTGATAGGGGATCGTAATAGTTATGTATTTGGTTCCATACACAATGGGGTATTCGAGGGTAAAATTATAACGGAACGTGATGCCTATTATGTTGAACATGCCAAACATTATTTTCCCACAAATCGCACGACGGCGACGACGACGACGACCACCGCAACTGCATTGTCCTCGACGACAACGGGGTCCACCAGCACACTAGACAACAAAAAAACTGCCATTGATAATAAGACAGAAAAGTTCATAAATAAAAATGCTGAAACCACATCTACAAGCGAATTCCCAATGTACCCACGCAGCAGTTCCGAGCAGCCAGAATCAACGACAATGATTTCACCGACCACCACAACAAATGAGTCTGTGGATGGGGATAAAAATGCTGCCGGTGCACAGGACGAACTTGATTTCCACTCAATTATCTATAAGGAGTCACACGTTGAGGATGCCTACGAGAATGTGCGCGAAGGTAAGTCACAAGCGAAAGTCCAAACAATTTTCTTAATGTGAAAAATTTGCACGTTTATTATAAGGTACAGAAACGACACCACAAGAAAAATATGAAAAGCGTTGTCATATGATTTATATGCCGTGTCAAGTAAAGACTTCATTTGTATTTTTCTTTTTTTTTTGCCCGAGTCAACCTTGAAAGTGTTTGATAACATTTCACTACAGTTTTGACAGTTGAGTTGAGTCTGTCCCAAGTGCTTGCAAATAATTTTCGGGTCTACATCGTCCCAGAAAGCGGCCTCAACTTGTCAAATTGTCAAAGGGGGAAGCTGTATAAATAGCGTTATGTGCTTCACATTTGTTTAACCAACTGAAGTTTGTTCAAAAGCATCAAAATATCTTAAGGCTTGCTAATAACGTAAGTGGGATTTAGTCAAATGAGTTATAGAAGCCTTTAATGATTATAAAAAGGAGAAGAAATAATGAGTCTTAGTTTTATGCTAATAACGCGAAAAAATAAGAAGAAATAAAACTCTCATCAATTTAACCTTTATTTAAAATATGTCTACGACTTTAATGCTAGCAGCAGGCGGAATAAGCTCTATTTATGGATGAAGCATATTATTTTGTATGTCCATAATATATATAAATATGGAAAAAAAAAAAACGAATTAATTAAACGAATCCAATTAAGCGAAATGGACGTTTTCCATGCATATTGAAGTTTGGCAACATTACTTAAATTTCGGCGGTATATCAAAAACAACTACAACTTATTTTAAAACAACTAGTTTTGATTTTTAAATGAATAGATTGTATTGTATAGATCTAGTGGGAGCCAAACGTATGTCTGCCTATGTTTAAATATATAAGACGTTACTGACTTAACGAATATTTTCTAAAATACCTGGCAATTTGAATACTGAACAACCGCTCAATATTAACTACTAAAACGTGGCAACAGCACACAAGTTCTTTAATGACATTCACAGATTTTTTGTAGTTTTTGTATTTAGTTTTGTAATTTTTTTTGTATGTTAAAATTCTTTTAACTGCGGCTAATTTTCTGTTACTTTGTTAAGTTATTTTCACTAGAAAACCATATTTATATATATATATATTTAGAATTTGGCAACGTTGTTGTTAACATATCTCCTGCAAACGTCAGCTGCAGCGGCATGTAACAAAGCAGTCATGTATGCAAATAAAAAAAAAAGAAACCCTTTGCCACTTGAATGGTCAATTCTTTTATGCAACTTTGCAACAAACTGAGGCACAGCTGATACACACAAATACACAAGCAGTGGCAACATTGCGGCAACAATGACACTGGCAATGAAAGTTGCTGCAACATGTGACCATTGTGCATGCAACATCGTTGTTGGCATTGTGCAAACAACAACAGCTTCCACTTACAGTGTAAACGTTCACGACAAAGGCGTGGCCCGCCTTGAACAGAAAAAAAAACGTAGTTGTTGCCATAACAGAGCTTCAACGTGGCAAATAGAAAATAAAAAAAAAAAACAAATCTAATGCATAACTAAACAACCACAACAAGAGGCAGTGGGGCAGATGTGCGAGGGACTACCCCTAGTGCTCGCGGAAATTTGTTGCAAAAATTGCATGCAATTTGACAGACGGCAACAACAACAATAGACACAACTATTGTCGCGGACGCATTTAGTAGAGTTATGTATGTGTGCGTGTGTGTGTGTGTTTGTAATTTTGTGGGCGTGCCGTGTGCGTGTGTGTGCATTTGGGTGTAATCATTTTAATGAGCTTACACAAAAGCCACTTACATTTTAGCCGCTCTCAAATTGTTGTTAGTTGGGCGACATTTGTTGCCGTTTGTTGCATTTGATTGATGCACTTTACACTGATTCTAACTGATTGTTTAACTTAGTTTTCTGTATACAAGTATGGCTGTGTGAGTGTAGGAGAAATGTGTTACATTTAATTAGTCCCGTTTTGGTTGCGCGCGCCTATTTGGCATATTTTGTGTGTGTTTAGACAACAGCTTGAAATAATATGTCAAAATGGTTTAAATTCCCAACATAAATCATCCTAATTAAAAGTCTTGTTGTGACTGTCGTGTGAATTGAAATATCGAATTAATAATAGAGCTCTGCGGGCTGAATTTATAAAGCGTTTCCACTTAATTGACAACAAGTGAAGTGTGGCAACAGTGTCAAATAAAGTGGGGCAACGCTAATACAATTATTTTGGAAATATTTGATAATTTAACATATTCTCTCAGTTGTCATAGAGGACTTGTACTCCTCTCGAGTGCTTAATAACAATATTTTAATTTCCGGCAATGTTTTCAGCTAATTAACATATAGTGAAGCTTGGCAACAGCGCCATATTTGATCTACATTACAACATATCAATAAAATGGCACTTTAAATTGAGAATCTGTTAGCTACTGAAGGGTATCACAACAATTTAATATGACATGTGTATATTAGAATTCAATGAATTTAATTCATTAAAATTTGTTTGTTGTAATTAAGTGCGCTCTTGCCAATTTGCACTGTGATTAAGGAACAGTGAAATAGTTGAAATATTTACATCGCTGTTGAACTTCCAATTAATGTTGAATTTGTCCACAAGAGAAATAAAAATATATCAATAAATAATTTCGCCTAATAAACTTGCATTGTCTACACTCTGAAAGTTTTTACTACTTTTAAGGGGTTTCACTTTAAAGGTTTCTAATTTATTATGAAAAACTTGCGGCCAAGGCTGAAACAAGGCAAAAAGTGGACGAAAGCATACCAAAGTGCGTTAAAAGTTCATGGATCTTAGCCCAAAGAGCAGCACATAAAGTTCGATTAGTGCAAAGTGCGCTGTTGCCATGCTTCACTTGTTGACACACAGCAACCGAAAGCGCAACTTTTTACCCCGCCAGTTACTTACCCAGTTTTTAGTGCCTTTTATGGCTTAATTGCTGCCCAGCCATTCCACCAGCGTCTTAAACTGTCCAACTTTATTAGCTTCTCTCGGCAGGCACGCACGCAACAAAGTATGAGAAAAAAAAACAAGTAGGAGTCAGTAGTGTGTGCTCGAGTCTGAATTACCCTGCAAACAGTCGGTAAACACATTCATATTTATTTATGTACAAGCACAATGGCAACATATCTGCTCCTGAGTAAAATATAAATAAACTTTAATATCTTGTGCAACGATTAGGTTTCAGAAAAATAACATTTACATGATATGTGTACACCTCGAGATATGCTCAGAAATTCGTCTCTTGATATCGATCTTTGTCGATTTTAAAGAGACCCAGCGCCTTAATGAACATATTTAATAAACTTGATCTGCGAATGTGTTTATATTTTTTATGATATGTTATATGGCCGCCCATTTGTCGATTTATTTATCGTCCTCATGTGTATTTTCTGACATCGGTATTTACGTCAAGTATAGGAAACTGGATCGAATATAATTTCGTCAGCCTGTTACGTACATTTAGAATTTGCTTATACCCTTTATAAGCATTTCGAATGGGTACAGGGTATGAAAAGAAAACTATGTCGAGGTGTTTACGCTTGCAAGCTTATCAAATATGTAGTGCAGTCCTTTGGCACCCTTTCGACCCGTCCGTCCGACCATCCATTCTCCCCCATTTAATACCATTTAGCAGCATATTAAGCTTTGTGCTAGAAATGAGCAGTTGCTCCAAAGAAGCGAGAGAGAGTGAAATGGGGCTGGCGCCACTTGCCGCCCACTTTGATTACATTGTTGGGTTGTGTGCGGCGCGTCGTGTTGAATGCGTGTGTTGAAATCAACCAAGCGAGTACACGCATGTTGCCACAGAGCCCCTTCCAATCCAACTGTGCAGGACTTGGGCTTGACACACTGCCAGTCAGTTGGCAAGTAGCGAAGCGTACACAAGACGCTTCCCCCCACACACACTACACGGGTTAATTCACACGCACATACACACACGCACACACACTCGCGCGCTCGCACACTCACTTCACACACTGACTCCATTATGGGACTGCAGTCTGCACTTGCCACTTGAATGCTGCATGGAAATCACAATTTATACACATTGTTGTAATATAATTTTTGCACAGCCGAACAGAATGCAACTCAAGTGGCAGTTCTTTCCCCTGCTCTCTCTCTACCTCTCTCTGCCTCTCTCTCTCTCTTGCCACATTGTTGGTCGCGTTGCAGGCGCCCCAAGACTGGCCCCTGTGGGCTCGCTCCCTAGTTTTATTACTCGAGTGCATTGGCCGTGGCAGCTTTATGCAGTTGCCTGCAACTGCCATTAATGCAATGCGGCTCATTTTATTTATGCCACTTTGTTTTATTGCACTTCTTTTCCACGTTATGGTTATTTATACATAGATGGGCGCTTGCCACGCCCAAAAACTATTGGCGTATAAATGTAAACAACCGATTAGCAACACCAGTTTTGCAACGCCAGTTGGTTAACTGAAATTAATTTTTAATTCGAATTTCATATTGTATACATTTTGTAGTTAAACGTAGCGTTTTGGCTATGTTAGCAAGAGCTAAAGTTAATCCTAATGCTAAGTATATTTTCACAGAATAATTTGATCTGTTAAAATCCGCCGAAAATATTAAATATTTCATATTCTAGATAAGCTGAGCCCCTGACCTGCTTTTAAAAGTTTTTAACAATGCAAAAGACTATAATATTATTAAATAATAAATATTAAAAATTATAATGCAATAATAATGATATATTACAATATGAAAAGCAAAGTTACAGTATAAAAAACAATTTTGTTTTAGCATATATCTTGACTTAGCTTGGAAATGACTTTCTTCCAGTTTACATATTGCCAACATCAAATATTTTAGTGGATATTTTGAACGCAAAAAGAAAAACTTCATTCTTATACAAGTAATAATAATCCACAATCCCGGTCTCATAAACTTAAACATATTTTTGTAGTAATTTTATTTCTATCATTTAAAACTAAAACTTACCTTATTTAAAGTTCTTACTTCTAGTCAAACTGTTATCTTTTCTAGTCT